CCGAGGCCAGCCCGGGCTTCTGCTCGCAGTGAAATGAGCGGCCGCGCTTGGGGAAGGGAGGGAGGCCGGGTGGAGAGAGCGGTCGACCCCGGACCTGTGCGAATGTGGGGTCCAGAGCCCCCGACCGGCACCACTCCTGGGATGAAAAAGATCGCCCCAAACTCTTCCTTGGCCCAGCATCTCTCAAGCGTGTGTGGGGTGTGTGTGTGTGTGTGTGTGTGTGTGTGTGTGTGTGTGTGTGCACGCGTGTGTGTGTGTGTGTGTGTGTGTGTGTGTGTGGTGCTGGAAACTGGAACCATTGTCTACAGGAGACACACCCCTCACGGCAGACAAGTCCAATAGATCTGACCAAATGATTGGCACATTCACAATTCTGACATTTTACTGAGCGTTCTGAAGGATGTTTCAGGTCATGGAAGCTTAGAAAAATAAGTAAAAATGAAATCAGCCAACCAGAAACCTGCCTTCCGCAAAGGTAGAGAAATGTAGAGAATCAAACAATTTTATTACGGAACAGGTATTAAGCCATTTTGCCTACAGCATCACAGGCAATGGGTGTCCAAAACAAAATTCTCACCTCTCTGTGTAGGCCTGGCAGATGCAAATCAAGTAAATGGTAAAGTGGCTTTAATAAGAGGACTTGACAATACATTATGTTATAGATTGCTGGCCTCTAATTCACTGCCTATTGGGGCATTTATGTTACTTAATTGCCTTTATCTAGAGAAAGATAAGACAGCTCTATGATAAGTAAAGTACATAGTTAAACCATGGAAGCAGGTTCCTAGGCTAAGATCCCACAGATATGAGCCTGGGTCTTTATCTTTACACTTGAGAGATGGCTTCCAAGCACTTGAGAAAGACATTTAGTTTCAGATTGTAAAACTAAGTTTTACTTTTAAAAAAATTACATTTACAGGCAATGTCCTTGGTTGGATGAGACTGACTAGGAGAGCTGTGCTGACCCACACTGAAGGTTCATTCTGGGCCAGGACCTGTGATACTCTCTTAACAGCCAGCCTCTTCTCAGCCTTTCCTAAGGCGGTCATAGTGTCATCAATCCCATTCATATGAATAGAAAAAGATCTCCGCTAAGCAGCCTTTCAAAGCCACAATGAAAGCAAGTAGGGTATGAAGCAAAAACTAGAATCCAAACAAAAAAACTACATAGGACTATCTCTAATGACTTCAATATTTTTATTATTATCCTACACTAATAGTCTATAGTCAATATTTTTATTATTTTATTATCCTACACTAATAGTCTGTGGGGTAGCTACTGTTTGTAGATAATACAGTTTATTATGAAAATTCATCCCTACCTCCTATTGTTATCCATCCTACTATATTAAAATAGCTATAGAAAAGCATAGTATCATACGTCAACTTTCCTCTTTATTAAATATTTCAAATTTCCGAGTTGATAAGAAAAATTCCTTAGTTTTGTCACAAAATGTAGGGTATGTAAAAATGAGGATAAATAAATAAGCAGATGCCTTCTGCTCTAAGCTATTTACTAAATTGTTTTGGTAAAGAGTGATGTCCAATTTAATGTATCCGAATTTAGCATGAGTTCAGTCCACGTGTGCCAATCTAAGCTGAAAACATGCTGATTTTATAACCGACCTCGGTTTTAGGGATTTTTAGGGAGGGCGGCAGTGTTGGTTGGTTTGTGTGTGCCTTTGTACTATTGCTCCACCTTATTCAGTTAAACTTCAGTTCTGAAGGAAGTTTTGCTCTTAGATTGGTGAAAGCATTAAGGGTTTATTACTGAGTCAGGTAGTATATGACTACACTGTAAGCTGAACTTTAGTTCACATGTACTTTTTTTTTAACCTTCTGGATTAAAGGCTATTTTAAATTTCAGTTTAAATAGAAAACCTACCCTGACTTTATGAACTACCTTGAAATAATCCTGTCACCTATTTTGGCGTCTCAATTCTTTTGAAATTAACTGCTTAGAATCTCTCTTATTCTACCTAAATCAACTGCTTTGCTGTCCTTCCTGCTTTAGGAGATCAGTCTATCCCATAAAAATCCTGGAATTTTGAACCCTTCAAGCAGCTACATAAAGAGTTCCTAACGTAAGTGAATGTGACACTCAGTTCCCTTAGAGGTGTATCATCCATCTCTGTACACCTTCTTCGTGTTCTTATGAGATGAGGAATTACTTCTCTCATTTCGAATCATACCACAGATCCTCTTCTTCAGTGGTGTGTTGGTTAGTGATTAATAATTGGATTCAGGAATAGGGGTGGGGGACTGGACACTATAAAACAAAACAATGCCATGACCCCTACTGGCAGCATTTGCTGGTTTTCACTTTGGAAACACTCCCTTGGTGACTGAGATGTAGCTACCAACCAGATACCACTGGATGCTGTCTTCGGAGGAAGTTGAATGGTGCTGCTGCTCAAGGACTACTTCATTCCTTGTCTGGCTTTCCATCAAATAGCATCCATCTGATGCTATTGACTAATGGGAAATCAAAGTAACAGGAAGTTTCTCTGGCAACACTTTCTTGCTGAGTTTTTAAAGTGCTGTTGTATATGCTCTGCTACTTACTATTTCACATGTACATAAGAAGGCTTAATTTCAAGGATGATTTTTGTCAATATGTGCACACACAAACACATAAATCAAGAGTTGTACAGTTTTAGGTCTTCAAATTTTAATCCATATTCATTTAGCTTGCTCTTTCCAGCCTCCTGAGTCTGTATTAAAATCAACCTGTATATCAGTCACTCAATTATTGTAGCTCTCTCAGTACAAACAATTGAAGTCACTGTGATATTTGCTGTAGTTTCCCTAGGTTCCCAAGAGGGGAACAACAACAACAACAACAAAAAGTAGGAATATGGCACCAGCCCTCAATTTTAGGCAAGGTTTTCTTAACATTTGAAAAGGATCCCAGAGGCCTGTGGGTTAGAAAATTCACATGATTCTCAGTAATGCAATGAATTTGGGCTCTTTTATTATTATTATTATTATTGTAAAAATACTGTACAGAGGGGCTCCAATTACATGGGCAAGGTAATGAGTATATTTCTTTTTTAATTTATTTTTTTATTGGTAACATACTGTACAGAGGGGCCACAATTACATGGGCAAGATAATGAATATGTTTCTTATCAAGCATTGTTGCCTCCTCCTTTGTTTCCTCTTCCCATCTCCCACTCCCCCCGCCCGAATTTGGGTTCTATTCCTCATGAAATACCTTCTGCCTCTTCTGTCATGTTCTGAAGGGGCTTACGGGTACCTGCAGGACATCAGCAGGATGAAATGTAGAACAGTACAACTATCCCTTAGACTTTCTTTCTCAGGACAGGTTTCTAAACTGCAGAAAGGTTTGCTGTTCTCAGAAATGACTTATGCTTCATAGTTTATATAAAGAAGTTGTTGTGCTAGTCCAGACAATGCAGAGAGTTTGGTATCTTTGTGATTCAAACACATGGTAGTGGCAGATAAAAGATATTGAGATAAGAACCAAAAAACCAATCATTAGACAAAAGACAACTGACTTACATACAATCTAAATATTTTGAGGACCTCACAATATTACAGGAATATCCAAAGTTGATGATGCTGTCTCTCATATTAGTTTGTTGATCGGGCCTCCTCCAGACCCTGAACATTTGAACCACTTCTTTTTCCTCTGGCCTTAACATATACTCTGCCTACTTCTCCTATTTCTTTTTTTTTTTCTGGGTCCGGTCATGGGGCCTGAACTCTGGGCCTGGGCGCTGTCCCTCAGCTCTTCAGCTCAAGGCTAGCACTCTACCACTTGAGCCACAGCGCCACTTCTGGCTTTTTTCTTTTTGCTTATGTGGTGCTGAGGAATCGAACCCAGGGCCTCGAGCATGCAAGGCAAGCGCTCTACCACTGAGCCACCTTCCCAGCCCCCAGTATCCTATTTCTTTTGGCTTTTATCTTCTAAGGCACCTCATATTTTACCCATTCCTCTTACTTTATTACTAGCGTGCAAGTTTCAGGAGGCTTCAATTTGTCTGTAGTTGTACAAAGGAATTTTCACTCAACAAAGCTATTTGTGAATACAGTGCATTTTGATGTGTTTCATCCCTTTCAACATTCTTGAGATTTCATTTTTTTCTCATTCTGTTATCCTCACTTGATGACATTATCTTAGAATTATTTAAAAGAATTAAGTAAGACTGGCCTGTATCTGCTTATACATCCTCTCCCTTCTGTCATTTTATGATGGAAAAATTGTCCTAAGTTCTTATCCAAGGATGCTCCTCAGCATCCCATGCTGAGTACTTGTACCA